CCCCACAAGGAAATTTACTTCATGGAAAAGAATAGGCAGCATGCCCACACCTACCATGAAAATAGCACGTAAATACCTTTTCTTGCATACACAGGAGAGAAATAAATAAAGAAAGTGAATGTCATAGGAATGCAATTAGAAGTCAGTGTATATCTATCACTCACAATGATAAAATGAACGTAGAAAAGCATGTCTACGGAGCAATTTGCAGTGCGAAAAGACTGATGGAGTAGCCAGACTTAGGCTTGGTTACAAATTCTCGCAGTTTGGCAGACGCACATAGGATCAAACTATATACAAAGTATGTGGTTAGTTTATAGTCACTTTCCTGGACACTATGTGCTTATTTGCCTACCTATCGAGGAACATATACGTATATATATATATATATATATATATATATATATATATATATATATATATATATATATATAGAGAGAGAGAGAGAGAGAGAGAGAGAGAGAGAGAGAGAGAGAGAGAGAGAGAGAGAGAGAGAGAGAGAGAGAGAGAGAGAGAGAGAGAGAGAGAGGAGAGAGAGAGAGAAAGAGAGAGAGAGAGAGAGAGAGAGAGAGAGAGAGAGAGAGAGAGAGAGAGAGAGAGAGAGAGAGAGAGAGAGAGAGAGAGAGAGAGAGAGAGAGAGAGAGCACTCCAGGATGATTTAAATAGACTAATGCAATGATCGGATAAGTGCAGATGCAGTTTAATATAGACAAATGCAAAGTTCTAAATGTTGGACAGGAAAATAACCATACCACACATGAACTAAATAATGTAGATCTTAATACTACTGATTGCGAAAAGGATTTAGGAGTTCTGGTTAGCAGTAATCTAAAACCAAGACAATAGTGCATTAGTGTTCGCAATAAAGCAAACAGAATTCTTGGCTTCATATCTAGAAGTATAAATAATAGAAATCTTCAGGTTGTTCAACTCTATATATCCTTGGTTAGGCCTCATTTAGACTATGCTGCTCAGTTCTGGTCACCGTATTACAAAATGGATATAAATGCTCTGGAAAACGTACAGAGGAGGATGACAAAGATGATCCCATGTATCAGAAATCTTCCATGTGAGGATAGACTGAGGGCCCTGAATCTGCACTCTCTCGAAAGGCGTAGAATTAGGGGGGATATGATCGAGGTGTATAAATGGAAAACAGGAATAAATAAAGGGGATGTAAATAGCGTGGTGAAAATTTCCAGCCAAGACAGGACTCGCAGAAATGGTTTCAAGTTGGAAAAATTCAGATTCAGGAAGGATATAGGAAAGCACTGGTTTTGTAATATTGTGGGTGAGTGGAACAAACTCTCGAGTACAGTTATAGAGGCTATAATATTGTGTAGTTTTAAGAATAGGTTAAATAAATACATGAGTGGGTGTGGGTGGGTGTGAGTTGGACTTGACTAGCTTGTGCTGCTGGGTCTAGTGCGGTGCTCCTTCCTAGAGTGGAGATGACCAGACTGGATGGGTCATTGGGCTAATCCGGGGTGATGGGACATGGACCTGCTCCGCATGGATCAGTAGGCATGTTGCAGTGTTCCTTCATTCTTATGTTCTTGTGTTCTTATATATATATATATATTATATATATATATATATATATATATATATATATATATATATATATATATATGTCGTGCCGAATATGTAAAACTGGTCAATTAGCAAGAACTCATTTAAAATTAAGTCCTTTCCGAAATTTTCTCTTATACGTTTAAAGATATATTTTTTTCATTAATGTTGATGTAAAAAATTTTAATTTTGCACCAAAAGAATCTTAGAAAACTTACCTAACCTTATTATAACAAGAACAATTTATTTTAACCTAACCCAACTAAATATATTTTAGATATGTTTACAGTAATTTAATACTAAATAAACACAGTGAAATATATTTTTTTCGTTAGGTTCAGAATGATTTTGGCGAAATTATTGCATACACAAATTTTCGCTTGTCCTATATGGCAAGATGAGCGTTGCTATTTAAGCCAAGATCGCAAGTTCTGCCTATTCGGCACGACATATATATATATATATATATATATATATATATATATATATATATATATATATATATATAATATATATATATATATATTATATATATATATAAATATATATATATATATATAAAATAAGAACACAAGAACATAAGAAAGAAGGAACACTGCAACAGGCCTACTGACCCATGCGGAGCAGGTCCATATATTTATTTATTTATTTATTTATTCACACACATATATAATATTAATATTAATATTAATTAAACTATGTGATATTCCAAGGTATCTTGATATTGTAAATAAGATACTTATGAAATAAGCAAATATCTTAAATTTGCTTGTACAGGTAAGACAACTGCAGATATAAATCGAGGGCCTAGTTCCTAGGCGTTTTGTGAAGCCGTATGTTCTTTCGCTACAGTCCACAGTGTAGACAACCTGCGCCCGGACCACTGTGTAGCACCTCGTGTTACTTGTCACCCGGTGTGACCCGCGCGTTTGACAGCTAACATTAGTCAGCTCCTGCTTCAGTTAGCAGTGTCTGAGCCCCTTGTACAGAAAGCTTCTTATATTCACCGCTCGTGATGCCCTGCAGAATCGTACCCACTACAATTTCCATCGAGATTTGTTCCACTTCACCTCCTGACCTTCAGAGCAATTACATGTAGAGAACCAGTCTGGGGACGCTTAGACTAAATTCTGCTATAACTCCAACTGTCGAGAAAATAGCATCAGTGAGCAGCCTGCACAAAGATGAAGATGATGTCACTTTCACTGCTAGCTCACTCACTGCAGTCCTGTGTATGATGTTACAACTTCCAGATGTTTCGCCGAGTTGTCTCTGCCAAGACTCACTCCACACTCGCCGGCAGTGACAGCCCCAACGACAGTACCAGTTGAAGAATGTCCTGAGTCGCTTGCCAGAAGATGTCCTGCCTAGCTGCCGAGTACTGACGATGCCTCACTCGAGGGCACCAGCAGGTTGTGCCCCAGGAAGAGTGAACCCTGCAGCAACTCCTATGATGACTTCTTCACCGCTCCAGAGACCGTACCCTGTTATGTCACAGCTAAGCCGCAGCTTACATGGCAGTATCTGTCCAAATGCAGGAAGGCATGCAATGATGCCCATCGACACTGCCTTAGACCACGATGTTTAGTACGCCCCACTTTTTTTTTCTTCCCTCCCTGTAAGAAGTTTTATTTTCATGCGTGAGCGTGTTAGATAGGAGTGAATGGAGACGAATGGTACTTGGGACCTGACGATCTGTTGGAGTGTGAGCAGGGTAATATTTAGTGAAGGGATTCAGGGAAACCGGTTATTTTCACATAGTCGGACTTGAGTCCTGGAAATGGGAAGTACAATGCCTGCACTTTAAAGGAGGGGTTTGGGATATTGGCAGTTTGGAGGGATATGTTGTGTATCTTTATATGTGTATGCTTCTAGACTGTTGTATTCTGAGCACCTCTGCAAAAACAGTGATAATGTGCGAGTGTGGTGAAAGTGTTGAATGATGATAAAAGTATTTTCTTTTTGGGGATTTTCTTTCTTTTTTGGGTCGCCCTGCCTCGGTGGGAGACGGCCGACTTGTTGAAAAAAAAAAAAAAAAAAAAAAAAAATATATATATATATATATATATATATATATATATATATATATATATATATATATATATATATATATATATATATATATATATATTTATACATGTATTATGTATATATATATATATATATATATATATATATATATATATATATATATATATATATATATATATATATATATATATATATATATATATATATATATATATGTTTTTATTTTGTGTTCTGTGACCTGCTCCTGCGAAAGAGAGACCGAGTTCTTTTTTTACTGCCATTCATGGTCGAGGACGACCATGGTGGTGCATGGCCGAGTGAATGTAGACAGCCTGTACTCTCTGCATAAACAGCCTATGCTGTTTGCCAGCTGAGTTCACATTTCGCTCTATGCTCGTATTGCCATCTGTAGGCCTCTCATTGGGCATGCCACTTGAAACGGCATCACCCTGCCTCTCACTCAGCGCCAATCCTTCACACAGTCAACAAGGCCTACTCCTCTCTTCTTAGAGGGCATGGCCTCTCCGGGGCTAGGGCACTAACACACTGCCTGTGTACCCAGAAACCGCAAATAAAGAAAGAAACCTCCGAAGCCTTATCATTGAACCCTGCCTGCAACAACGTGACAATAACCTTTTCGAAAACAGGATGAATATGAGGTGCACAAAAAACTAGCCGCTTCGGTGGAAAAATCTATAAACGTAGTTTACATATTTCTATTACCAAGTTCAAATGAAGAAAATGGATGGATCACTTATCTTTTGTTTTTATCCCTCTACTCCTCCCAATATTTATTCAATCCCTTCCTTATCCTTCCAGTCTTTCTTCCTCCTCCCTCTTTAACGGGGCTTTAATCGAATTCGAAGGGTAAAGAGAACCAGAAGAAGTTAATGAGGAAAGGAGGAGTGAAGGGAGCAAGGGAGGGTAGAAGGGAACGAGAGAATGAGGAAATGAAGAAGAGAACATGACTGGGAGAGGGAGGGAGGGAGGGGAGGGAAGGGAAGGCAATAGTAGACACAGGTGGTGATCGGCACGAGCATATGATAGTTTGTCAACAACAGTGACTGGTCTTGTGTACAAGGGCTCCTCCAGAGACCACAGGCTAACGACCAGCAAGGTGCCCACCACGGGGGTCACACGGACTTGATCACCTCGACTGTTTGTGGTGTGGAGAGAGCAAGAGGTGTGTTTGTATTGGTGTGAGCTCAAAGGAATGTGTGCGTTGGTTACTTGAATGTGTGAAGAGAGAGAGAGAGAGAGAGAGAGAGAGAGAGAGAGAGAGAGAGAGAGAGAGAGAGAGAGAGAGAGAGAGAGAGAGAGAGAGAGAGAGAGAGAGAGAGAGTGCGTGTACATACTTATTTTTCCACGTGTACTCAACTATTTGCGTTTCCAGTGGTCGAAACATCTTATAGCAGACTCGTCGCACAGAGGGAGGCTTGGACAAGCCCCCAGATCTTCTAAGTACTGCAAACACTTGGTATGAAGAACACCATTGCTTGACGTACTTGAACCTCCCCGACGTCCGCCACTCCATTACCAGGCGTCACCCACATGACAACGCCATCTGTGAATCGGCTGCCGACTCATACAAGACACCAATTAGATAATTAATAATTCAAGTGAGGTTTTCCTCCACTGGTTTACCTTCTGTTAATTTTCTCATTACTTAGCCAATGATATGAAGCAGTGAGGAGCTCCTTGTCCTGTTGTGTTTTCCAGCTAGCACCTAACGTTTTCCACGCTCGTTTTGGTAAGTATTGAGTAGTCAGACTAGTATCGTGTTACAAATGGTGTATATATAATAATACCAACAATTTCTAGGGTGAGACACATGGGACAACACTAGGAATCTTGGACGAAATATTTCATCAATAAAGGCTTCTAGTGTTGCCTGTTTGTCTAACCATTCCGTCTATTGTTTATATTACATGTTCGATTGTCATTACAATCATAGGTGTGTGTATCTCAAGTTATGTATGCTGTGACTTTCGCTCTTGTTTTATGCTTTACAAACTTGGATACTTTAAAAACATGGATGTAATTACATGGATGAATGTAATTATACTTAAAGGACGGTGCTAGTCTCTAATAGTTGAAAGGTAGAAAGGTGTTACATCACCTAGTGTTTTCATACAGTGCTGGAGGTGGTTGGTGTTGCAGAGGTAAAAGAAATAAGCTAACAAGGCATAAAAGTGTTTAAACGCTAAAAATTAAGTATTTTTTTCCCCTTCGCCTCTTGATTTTTTACTGTCCACCCATCCCTTGTGGGAGGTTCCCTGATGCCGGTGAAGGGCTTTTGATCAAAGGAGTTAAACCAATCCTCCCATTCTATGAATTGAACCTGATTGTTCTCTCTACCCCACTCCTTTCCCCGGGCGCTGTATGACTCCTGAAATTTTAACTTTATTCTCACGACAGTAATATTCTGTAGGAACATCATCTTGGGCAGAGCTAACCAATATATTCGTGTAAATTCACCTTTGGTAAGTGTTGCGTTGGCCCGTATTCGTTGTTCTAGGTAACTGTTATTAAAAGATGTAAGGCAGAAATTAGTTTCCTTTCTATTTCCCAAACACTGACGAGTTTTGAAACTTAATGTGATATTAAAATTAGGCACTAGAAAATTATAAATGCTGTCTTGGGTTTCGTACGAAAATTTAATGATAGCTAGGTTTCTCGATACCGTTGACACGGACGTTTTTTACAAATAGATAATTTGGACAGCTTTATTTTCATGTTTCTTATTCCGTGTGAATTAAGGCTTGTAACAAAAATTTTGTACACATAGAATATTTGCTACTTTATAATCTATTACCTCTATATGTACACTTTATAATGTGTAAATTTGTTGAATGGGTAATTAGTTAACTATGGTCCTTAACACAACTGAGCAATAATTTATACCTTGGGAATGGAAATGCATAACGAAACTCTGCATAACCCGACCTCATTGGGTTATGTTTGATGAATATTGAATGGTACGTAAATTTTTGACTTGTACAAAGAAAGGTTATACTTTAAATTTGCATACTTTAGGTAAGGCCTCTGATCACGTGGTGCTTGGTTCTGGTCGTCTTATTGAAGAATGTACAAAAAAAATAATGCTGAAGACAGGCTGAAATCACTAAATTTGAGATCTGGATAACTTAAATAACTTAAGAGTTAGGGAAGGTAAGATTGAAGTGTACGAATGGAAAATTAGACTACAGGAGATATAACGTGCTGAAAGTATTTAACCAATACAGTACTCGAAGCATTGCAATATAGTATGAGAAATTTTGACGTGCAAAGGATTTAGGGAGGAAATAGTTTGGCAGTAGTTGTAGATGAAAGGAACGAACTCAATGGAAAGGGAATTTTGAGTATCTTGAATATAGGTTGCATGGGTGTACGAGTGGGTCTGGTTGGGTGAGTTTGCCTTGCCTAGCATGTGAGCAATAGACCTACTGCAATGCTCCATCGTTATGATCTACGTTAACCTAACTTAACTAAAAACAGCCTAACCTAATAAAAATTCTACAAACACAGTAATATCGTGGAGCAAATTTATATTTATCGTAAGAACTTCATCCTATATTGGTTTAGTACATTCCACCTTCGTGATTTTTATAATTTAGACGAGTCTTTGGCATTAATTTCATGTAGATTAAATTTATTTTCTTGTACCTTGGTAATTGTGATTAGTTTGCTTTCTTTTAAGCCCGAAGTGACCTACAAAGTGCTCCATAAATGTTACTTCTCGCTCCTTTGTGTGTAATATTGGAGTCACAAATGTGACCTCTGTACTTTGTTGAAAACTGGGTTTTGCAGAGTTAAGTAGGAGGGTATTTCTTGCCTCGTGGCTTATACTACGTGGCTGTTGCCATATTGGAGGGGACGATCCTTTCGCGACCCCTAGGGTCGGGGGGGGGGGGTTATGGGCAACTTTCTCAGCATTCACTGTGGCCCCTACCACTTGCCCGGGCGTACATTGTCCCATGTGGCCCTTCATTGCAATCCTGAGGGAAGACCCCATGGGGGATGCATCTGGCGCGGGTAAGGACTGGTGGAACCACAGGGTGAGGGAGGAGAATCGTTCCTCTGAAGATTGCTTCTCTGAAACGCCTGACCATGTGAAACGGCTTCAGTTATCCTCTACGACAGTTGAGACTCTGCCTATAGTCCTCCCTCTCCCCTGGGTGCTACAAACGTTACTTATTTGTCCTTTGACAGTGGGAAGTATCTGTGACGCAGCTCAAAGGACTTAATTATACCAAGGAGTGCTGGGCATCTGCCTTCATCCGGGAATGCCGGATACTCCACATCCTTACGATCTTCCTCAGATCCTAAGGATGGGAAGAATGAGAAGAATTCTCAGATATTTCTAGTTTTGCCAGGATGGTGCACTGGGTACATCATCTTGGAAAGTAAAGTCAGCTCTTCCTCTGAAAGGTAATCTAATAGCCACTCAGTGTGGCTCCCAGACCGTATATGGCCCTTTTCTTTTGAGAAAGAGGAACTGTTGTCCTTCCCTCTAAGAATCTGTGGATGCTGTCCCACTGTACCCGAAGAGTGAGTCGTATTATGGCTGTATTATGGCATCCAGAGCTGCTACTCGGTTGTGATGGCTAAGCCTCTTTCCTTATTTAAAGATCAGGATTTGCATAGGTGCATTCTGTACTTCATCACTTCAGAGCTTCTGTCAAGTCTGGTGAGCTTTCCCTGGATATCCGCCGTGAGGAACTCGGCCTGTGATAAGTTTCAGGCAACCCGGTTTATGCCGCAGTCTTTCTAAAGAGGTTGAATCCTTTGCTCTTAGTGCAAGGCTTCTGTTAAGTTTGGCGATCAAAAACTGGTCCGTCTACTGGACTGTGGCCTTAGTGTCTTCAGGCAGAGGTTGTCTTCTCTCTCTGCCGCTTTTGGATGGTGTCGGAGGTTCGTCCTTTTAGCCAGTCGATGGGGGACCTCTAAGTGTCGATCCCCGGGTGATTAACTTGGCTAATCTTTTGACCTTAATTCGCTTCACGCTTCAAAGATGAAGCAAAAAATAAGGATTGTATTGGTTTTGCCATGTTTTCTGGTGATTTGCGGTAACGAATCCATGCTTCTCTCGACCTGGTAAGATTAATAGATTTTTGTTAATTGTGTGTTCATTCTCGATGTTTTATTTGCCTTGGCCCAGTACGTACAATATGGTTCAAAAGATCCAGAAGTGGTTAGCTCATCTCTACTCAGGGCACAAGGATGTTTAATTCTGGTGGTATCCAGAGAAAAGAATGGGCAGAGGCTGCTACAGAGCTCGTTCTATAGTACAGATGATTATACTGGTGCATCATGTGTGTCCTACAGACTAGAAGAAAAGTATACTAATCTCTGTATTGAGGATGAGCCGCGCACATTTGGCTAATGACTACCCGTTTGCAAGAGTTACTGCCTACCTTTCTTTCCCTCTAGTTTTGCCATACTACTTTCCGTAAGACACATTTTGAACTGCTTATTATAATTATCTGGGTGCCAATAGGGGTCTCAAATTGAAAGTCTTTTGACATTAACACTTGTGTGGGATTTTTAAATTGTAGTGATTATTTTAAACTTGGTGGAAGTTTCTCTTGCAAGTAGTTTGATTAATTTGATCATTTTGTTTGATCTTGAATGATGGACTTCGTTAGCAACATTTTTTTTTTTTTAACTATCTTTGTTTTCAGTGGACTTGGCATTTTCTGTGTAGATCTTTTGTTTTATTTATATAGGGAACTTTTCCTGGTCCAACTTTGTTTATTGGATGATTCAGCGGCATTAATTTAACGTCTGGCTTTGATATGCATGTAGTGGAGGGTTGTGATGGTGCATGGGACTGTTGTTGTTCGTCGCTTTTTAGTCTTGCTATATGTAACTTATACTACTTATCGGTTCCTGTTTTTTGGCTCTGGCCTCGGAGGTAAAAATGTTTACCCTCGTATAGCTAGGACTAGAAAAAACCTGTGACTCCCTTCTTTGAGGTGTAGTCTGCCTAGAAGCCCTTTGTGGTTGTCAGGAAGCTGGATAAACTCAATTGACAGGGTTCATCAGAGGACCTATAAAATGATGCAAACTTCTGCTGTCTTACCAGAACTGTTTTCCAACCCATAAGTATCTGGGTAAGTACAAATAGGAAGTGCATCAGTTTCGCTCTGAATGATCCTCATGGGTTTAGCGCTTAACACGAATTATTGATTTCTAAAAAGTTATCTTGTACGTTTCAAGATGGTTTTTTTCATTTATGTTAATGTAAAAATTAATAACTTTGTACCAGAAGAACCTTAGAAAACTTACGTAACCTTAATATAACAAGCGCAATTTTAATTTAACCTAATCCAACTAAATATTTGTCATAACTTTACAATTTAATAAACAATGAAATTATTTTTCTCGTTAGGTTCGGAATAATTTTTGTGAAATTATTGCATACACAAATTTTCGCTTGCAAGAACAGCGTTGCCATTTAAGCCAAAAGTGTGTGTATTATATATATATAAACTGCCGTGAAAGGCGGACGGAGCATAGAGCCCCCACTACCAAAGTGTGCTTTTTGACAATGTTTATTGCTTTCAGACTGTGCTGTCAGTACCTCCATACCGCTAGAGAAGGGAAAGTCCTTGAGGCAGTGCTCTTGAAGTGGGACGCAGCAGCAGCAGCAGTAGCAGCAGCAGCAGCAGCAGCAGTAGTAGCAGCAGCAGCAGTAGCAGCAGTAGTGGAGTAAACTATGGGCTACTCTGGGTATAGAGGACCGGACAGACGTCGTAGCTATATTGTGCAGATAAACCGTACACAGAATCCCAGCTATGCTGGACCTGTGCAACAAGATGAGAGTGCCGCCAGAAATGTACCAAGTACTAGCGGAACAGCTCTTAGAGGAACCTCCCAGCATACACACAGTTCCAGTCATAGCCGGGCCATGGAGCAGATGGGCGCTGCCGGTTATAGCCGGGCCATGGAGCATATGGGCACGGCCGGTCATAGCGGAGCTATGGAGCATATAGGCATTGCCGGTCATAGCCGGGCCACGGAGCATACGGGCTCTGCCCGTCATAGCCGGGCCATGGAGCATATAGGCTCTGCAGGGCATAGCCGGGCCATGGAGCATATGGGCACTGTCGGTTATGGTCAAGGCATGGGGCAGACAGGCACTACCGGTTATGGCCAGGGCATGGAGCAGATGGGCACTGCCGGTTATGGCACGAGCATGGAGCAGATGGGCACTGCCGGTTATGGCCCGGGCATAGAGCAGATGGGCACTGCCGGTTATGGCCCGGGCATAGAGCAGATGGGCACTGCCGGTTATGGCCTGGGCATGGAGCAGATGGGCACTGCCGGTTATGGTCCGGGCATGGAGCAGATGGGCACTGCCAGTTATGGTCCGGGCATGGAGCAGATGGGCACTGCCGGTTATGGTCCGGGCATGGAGCAGATGGGCACTGCCGGTTATGGCGAGGCCGTTGAGCGGATGGGCACTACCGGTTATGGCGAGGCCGTTGAGCGGATGGGCACTACCGGTTATGGCGAGGCCGTTGAGCGGATGGGCACTACCGGTTATGGCGGGGACCGTTGAGCGGATGGGCACTACCGGTTATGGCGAGGCCGTTGAGCGGATGGGCACTACCGGTTATGGCGAGGCCGTTGAGCGGATGGGCACTACCGGTTATGGCGAGGCCGTTGAGCGGATGGGCACTACCGGTTATGGCGAGGACGTGGAGCAAATAGGCCCTGCCGGTTATGACGAGGCTGTGGAGCAGATGGACTCTGCCGGTTATGGGGAGGCCGTGGAGCAGATGGGTCCTGCCGGTTATGGGGAGGCCGTGGAGCAGATGGGTCCTGCCGGTTATGGGGAGGCCGTGGAGCAGATGGGTCCTGCCGGTTATGGGGAGGCCATGGAGCAGATGGACCCTGCCGATTATGGGGAGGCCATGGAGCAGATGGGCCCTGCCGGTTATGGGGAGGCAGTGGAACAGATGGGCCCTGTTGGTTATGGGGAGGCTGTGGAGCAGACGGGCCCTGTCGGTTATGGGGATGTCGTGGAGCAGATGGGCATTGCCGGAGATAGCCAGACCCTGGAGCAGATGGTCACTTCTGATCATAGACGAGCCACTGAGCAGACAGGCATTGCCGATCCTAGCAGGGTCGTGGAGCAGGTGTTCATGTCTTGTCAAGGATGGGCTGCAGAGCAGATGGGCATTCCCAGTTATAGCTGGGTCGTGGAACAGCTCGGCATTGCCGGTCATACCCAGGGCGTGGAACAGTCGAGTGTTACTAGTCCTAACCAGGGCATTGAAGAGATGAGTGTTACTAGTCCTAACCAGGGCGTTGAAGAGATGAGTGTTACTAGTCCTAACCAGGGCGTTGAAGAGATGAGTGTTACTAGTCCTAACCAGGGCGTGGAACAGATGAGTGTTCCTGGTCCTACCCAGCATGTGGAACAGGGTGGTAGTTTAAGTCAAAACCGAAATATGCAACAGATGGGCATTCACGACCGTGCTGCAGAGCAGATAGAAGTTTTAGGTCAAGGCCAGGCTGTGGAGCACACGAGCAGTCCAGGTCGGGTGGCGGCCGTGGAGCACGCTGGCAGTCCAGGTCGGGTGGCGGCCGTGGAGCACGCTGGCAGTCCAGGTCTGGTGCCGGACGTGGAACACTCGGGCAGTCCAGGTCGGGTGCCCGCCGTGGAACACTCGGGCAGTCCAGGTCGAGTGCCGGCCGTGGAACACGCGGGCAGTCCAGGTCGGGTGCCGGCCGTGGAACACGCGGGCAGTCCAGGTCGGGTGCCGGCCGTGGAGCACGTGGGCAGTCCAGGTCGGGTGCCGGCCGTGGAGCACGCGGGCAGTCCAGGTCGGGTGCCGGCCGTGGAGCATGCGGGCAGTCCAGGTCGGGTGCCGGCCGTGGAGCACGCTGGCAGTCCAGGTCTGGTGCCGGACGTGGAACACTCGGGCAGTCCAGGTCGGGTGCCGGCCGTGGAACACTCGGGCAGTCCAGGTCGAGTGCCGGCCGTGGAACACGCGGGCAGTCCAGGTCGGGTGCCGGCCGTGGAACACGCGGGCAGTCCAGGTCGGGTGCCGGCCGTGGAGCACGTGGGCAGTCCAGGTCGGGTGCCGGCCGTGGAGCACGCGGGCAGTCCAGGTCGGGTGCCGGCCGTGGAGCACGCGGGCAGTCCAGGTCGGGTGGCGGCCGTGGAGCACGCGGGCAGCCCAGGTCGGGTGGCGGCCGTGGAGCACGCGGGCAGCCCAGGTCGGGTGGCGGCCGTGGAGCACGCGGGCAGCCCAGGTCGGGTGGCGGCCGTGGAGCACGTGGGCAGCCCAGGTCGGGTGGCGGCCGTGGAGCACGTGGGCAGCCCAGGTCGGGTGGCGGCCGTGAGGCACGCGGGCAGCCCAGGTCGGGTGGCGGCCGTGGAGCACGCGGGCAGCCCAGGTCGGGTGGCGGCCGTGGAGCACGCGGGCAGCCCAGGTCGGGTGGCGGCCGTGGAGCACGCGGGCAGCCCAGATCGGGTGGCGGCCGTGGAGCACGTGGGCAGCCCAGGTCGGGTGGCGGCCGTGGAGCACGCGGGCAGCCCTGGTCGGGTGGCGGCGGCAGAGCACGCGGGCAGCCCAGGTCGGGTGGAGGCGGTGGAGCTGACGGGCAGCCCAGGTCGGGTGGCGGCCGTGGAGCACGCGGGCAGCCCTGGTCGGGTGGCGGCGGCAGAGCACGCGGGCAGCCCAGGTCGGGTGGAGGCCGTGGAGCTGACGGGCAGCCCAGGTCGGGTGGCGGCCGTGGAGCTGACGGGCAGCCCAGGTCGGGTGGCGGCCGTGGAGCTGACGGGCAGCCCAGGTCGGGTGGCGGCCGTGGAGCTGACGGGCCCAGGTCGGGTGGCGGCCGTGGAGCTGACGGGCAGCCCAGGCGGGTGGCGGCCGTGGAGCTGACGGGCAGCCCAGGCCGGGTGGCGGCCGTGGAGCTGACGGGCAGCCCAGGCCGGGTGGCGGCCGTGGAGCTGACGGGCAGCCCAGGCCGGGTGGCGGCCGTGGAGCTGACGGGCAGCCCAGGCGGGTGGCGGCCGTGGAGCTGACGGGCAGCCCAGGCCGGGTGGCGGCCGTGGAGCTGACGGGCAGCCCAGGCCGGGTGGCGGCCGTGGAGCTGACGGGCAGCCCAGGCCGGGTGGCGGCCGTGGAGCTGACGGGCAGCCCAGGCCGGGTGGCGGCCGTGGAGCTGACGGGCAGCCCAGGCCGGGTGGCGGCCGTGGAGCTGACGGGCAGCCCAGGCCGGGTGGCGGCCGTGGAGCTGACGGGCAGCCCAGGCCGGGTGGCGGCCGTGGAGCTGACGGGCAGCCCAGGCCGGGTGGCGGCCGTGGAGCTGACGGGCAGCCCAGGCCGGGTGGCGGCCGTGGAGCTGACGGGCAGCCCAGGCCGGGTGGCGGCCGTGGAGCTGACGGGCAGCCCAGGCCGGGTGGCGGCCGTGGAGCTGACGGGCAGCCCAGGCCGGGTGGCGGCCGTGGAGCTGACGGGCAGCCCAGGCCGGGTGGCGGCCGTGGAGCTGACGGGCAGCCCAGGCCGGGTGGCGGCCGTGGAGCTGACGGGCAGCCCAGGCCGGGTGGCGGCCGTGGAGCTGACGGGCAGCCCAGGCCGGGTGGCGGCCGTGGAGCTGACGGGCAGCCCAGGCCGGGTGGCGGCGTGGAGCTGACGGGCAGCCCAGGCCGGGTGGCGGCCGTGGAGCTGACGGGCAGCCCAGGCCGGGTGGCGGCCGTGGAGCTGACGGGCAGCCCAGGCCGGGTGGCGGCCGTGGAGCTGACGGGCAGCCCAGGCCGGGTGGCGGCCGTGGAGCTGACGGGCAGCCCAGGCCGGGTGGCGGGCGTGGAGCTGACGGGCAGCCCAGGCCGGGTGGCGGGCGTGGAGCTGACGGGCAGCCCAGGCCGGGTGGCGGGCGTGGAGCTGACGGGCAGCCCAGGCCGGGTGGCGGGCGTGGAGCTGACGGGCAGCCCAGGCCGGGTGGCGGCCGTGGAGCACGCGGGCAGCCCAGGCCGGGTGGCGGCCGTGGAGCACGCGGGCAGCCCAGGCCGTGGCCGGGTCGTGTATAAGAGGGGAAGTGCAGGTCGAGGCCGTGCCCTGCAGCGACGGGGAAGTGCAGGTCGAGGCCGGGCCGTGCATGGTAGGAGTAGTGCAGTTCGAGGCCGGGCCGTGCACAAGGCATGTAGAACTGGCCGAGGCCGGGCAGTGCCAAGGAGTGGTATTTCCAGTCGAGGCCAGGCTATGCATCAGCGGTGTAATCTTGGCCGAAGGAGGGCCATGCAGCCGCGTCCAGCTGGGGAAGTTCCTAGCACTAGCAGTACCGAAGTTATGGAAAGGAACTTGCAGCGATCAGACAGTCCCAGCCGAGGCGGTGGCAGAGGTAAAAATACCAACGGAAAAAGTGTATCGATACCGTACAATTATTGATAACCGTGAGAATTGGTGTAGCACTAATAGATTTTACTTTACAACTCATCGCACACTGGGTGAGGCATTTCTACCTTTTTCATTTTGAAGACTATAAAGAGCAGTTATCTTAGTGTCTGATTTTGCGCTAAAGATTTTTCAAGGTTTACCATTTTACATCCCCTCTCTCTCCTAGCCTAAAGTAGACAGTTACTTAAATATTTGACTGCGTTTGTTTTTTAATAGATTTTTTAAAAAATCTAAAGATTAGTAAATGATTTAAATTCACTAATATACTCTTAATTACAGTTAAATTAAAATATGGCTAGTTTCACTTTAAAATAATTTCATAACTGTTATATATAGTGGTACACGTTAGATACTTAAGGGTCTGTAACTTTAATTTCTTCAAACTTCTCAGATATGAGGTGCAAGTCAGGCCAGCGAAACAGTTCTTGAACGGTTAACTAAATCTTCTGGATTCCTCTGCATCAAAACCGCAGACTTTCTCATAAGCCTTGAAAGGGTTGTACCCTGTGACTTGGTGAAGCATTTCTGAGGTTGCGCCTAGCATCAGAGAAGACTGTGGAGAGTTGTGAAGTACACCTGGCCTTGATCACATTGGCGGCACTAGAGGAGGCTGCCTCACGAAGATATCATGAGCCGTGTTTACATAAACTTGTTTTTAATCCATGAAACTGGTTTATTAAAGGCAGAATTTTTCAAGTAATTCTTGCTCTTAATATTTGTTAGCTCAGTTTGTCTGCCTATGAGGCTTGGCATGTCATACTAAAATAATTTATAAATTTTTGGAGTACCAAAATTTTAAGTAACTCTTTTTATTACTGTTTAATAGTTTGTGTTAATGAAAGAAAAAAGTAGCTTCATAATGGTTAAAGTTAAGATGGATGCTAACATTTTTCACATTTTTGTTAAAGTAGTTTTTAGTATTAAGTAACTTGGAAAATGAATTATATTTTTTATTAGTTTTATTGTATTTAATTTCGATCAAATAAATGTTAAATTTAAATATTTTATCTAGTATACCTTATAACGCACAGGTTGAAGCAGCTATAACTTCATTGAAGAATTTGTACTCCACAATACTTCCCTTGCAATTTTTACTTCTTAAAACTGCAAGAGAACAGTTAATGGACATTATTCTGGAACCAATTCCTCTCCTTGGCTGACTTGATTTCACATGCCTCTTCAAAAATTGCATTAATACATATGAGGGTATCTTGATCCAAGGCATGTTGCCCTTCCCTACTTGGGATCAGACCAACTACCTCTAATCATTATGTATTTAGCCTGACCCCTCCGGTGTATTAATTTTGTCTGAAGGTTTTGTCTTAGATTCGATTCGTGGTGAGGTCATTATAGGTCCCCCCCTTCCTCAGACCGAACCTAATTACCCCCCAATCCCCCATTCCCTATCCCATCCTCCTCCCCTTTTTCCTTTCCTCCTCCTCCTCCTCTCCCCCACCCCTCCCTTTTGCCCTTCCTTTTTGGCCTTCGGTTTTTTTTTTTTTTTTTCCCACAGGCACGCTAGTTCCTAGGTAGGGGAAAGGGTACCGGGGTCCATCCCATTCCATTGAGGTTCTTTGCGGTGGCGTAGTTTGCCGTGGAATCTGGATTGCCTGGGGATGTCCCGATCCCTCTCCGGTATCCCGGAGGGTGGCTTTGGGTGTCTCTCGGGCGACGGGTGTATCTCTGGAAGCCACATTTTGGATTCCGGGGGTGGTGGCCGAAGGAGGTATGCTTTGTGGCGGATTTCCGGCCACCCTCTTTTGTCCACCGAGGTAGCTCGGCAGATGTGAGGTTGCTATCCCGGATTGCTGGTTTACTGGCATGATGGGTAGGGTATGGCACGGGTTCCATGCTGCATCTGTGATACTTGTGGTGCTGAGGTCCTCTTGGGCGCGGAGGGAGATTACTGGCCCTTTCATTCCTCCTAGGAACTATCCCTCCCCGGTCCCCTTTCTTTTTTATTCTTTTTTTTATTTTTATTTTTTCTTTCTTTTTTTTCTTAACAAAAAGAAAGAAGTAACCTAACCATGGCAGCCCTAGTCCATGAACCTGCTACCCCCGGGCCCCTTCTTGATACCGCACCCTGTTCTGACCCTGCCTCGTCTTTGGACCACTCTTCGGACACTCCTCATGCCTCTGTACCTCTTGCCGTTGCTGTTTCCTCACCCGCTTCAGGTACTGAGGCCTCGACTTCGAATTGCCGACCCGTTCCACGTCGGACCAACTCTGGTCCCACGCCTAAACGCCAACGACAATTACCTGCTGATGATACTTCTCCACCTTCTCGTTCTTCTCAGAAAAGATCGACACGTCCTTCATTACCTTTCCACGCTCGGTTTCAGACTACACAATGGACTAAATTCTTCACTTTTCGACCGACTTCCTCTACAGTATTGGCAAGGCACTCCTACGCCATGTTGGTAAAGATATTTCTTTTCATGCTCTTAAGTGCGGTACGCGCATCATCACCGTACAGAATGCTACCCAGGCTCATGAGCTTTCTCGTCTTTCCCATATCGATACTGTTCCTGTCACTATTGAAAAACATCATTCCCTCAATTCTTGTAGTGGTACCGTCATTCTGCCCAATACCATAGTTCAACAAAATTTCCAGACATGTGGCACTGACATTCTTGAACAGCTGGAACTCCAAGATCTCCCAATCCTCAAGGTAGACACTTACGTTCTTCCTGCCCGTGGGCGGAGACGATACCCTAGCAATGTGGCTCGTTTAACTTTTGACAGCCGTGAACTCCCATCCTCAGTTTATGTAGCAGGACATCGGTTACAAGTTCGAAAGGTGATCCCTACACCGCAACAGTGTAGAAATTGCTGGCGATTTGGCCATCCAGCGAAATATTGCAGATCTATCGCCGAATGCCCAGTCTGTGGTGCCGATGACCATTCTAATGTCTTTCAATCGACCTCCCTCTTGCCTTAATTGTCATGAGGCTCACCCTTCGTACTCTCGCTGTTGTCAAATCTACTTAAACGAGCGGGAAATCCATTACCTCAAAGAGGCAGAAGGTCTCCCTTATGCCATGGCAGTTTCTCATCTCTGCCTCCAAGGGAGACTACCTCGTGTTTCTTATTCCCGTGTTTCAAAACGTCCCCCCACTTCTGGTATCCCATCTTCTGCACCCACCTCTGTGGTTACCTCTCCCATAGTCACTCCTGTATCTAATTCTTTTGCTGTCCTCGGCTCAGACGTCCCTACTTCAACGCCTCAGTCTGATCTCGCTTCTTCGTGTTCTCTCTCAAAAGCCTCAGTAGCGACGAGATCTCGTATGACACCTCCTCCCAATCGTCCCTCTACTTCTCAAAAGTCAAAAAAAAGGTCCGTTAACACCTCCTACCCATCTTCCACCTCCTCATTTTACCTTCCCTGTCTCTGTACCTGGTTCTCCCCCTCTCACTGGCTCTTTTACAAGTGTAGAGGTTCGCCCTCCTCCTCGTACTGTACCTTCCTCCCCTGTTCCCTCCCAAGTCTCTTCCTCTTCTGCCACCTCCCATGTTTCTGCCTCTTCTGTCCCCTTCCATGCTTCTCCTGTTCCCTCCACCCTTTCGCCTCCCCCTACCTTGGTAGAGTCCAATACAGTTCCAATCTTTACTCATCCTCCCCCTACCATTTCCAATATTGTCTCCCATACGACGTCTCTGAATTCTGAAACACTTGAAGCAATCTCTGAATATATTGCAGAGATCAAACCATCAATGGACACTGATCCACCCTCCGCTCCTTCTCTCTCCTCTGCTCCATCTGCGCAACTTCTTTCTTCACAGCGCACCGTTCCTTCACTGCTTGAACGTTTTCCACTGCCTCCGCATGTGGACTTTTCTAACCCCTCTAGTCTGTAGGAACCCTTACCTGCGGATTTCAGGTATCTTTATCATTGCCATTCATGGCCTATTTACAGTGGAATATACGTGGCCTCGGGTAATTGGGGTGAGCTTCAGATGTTACTCTCCCAGTTTTCCCCTGTTGGTGTTTGCTTACAGGAACCAAAATTACACTCTGCTGTTATCTCTCCAATCTCAGGCTATAATTTATTGTATTCTTCATATCCTTTTCCTGATGGGACCTTTAATGAAAGTGCCCTTCTTCTACGCACTGATATTCCGTACCATCAGCTATTTGTTAGTACTTCACTGCATTACAAAGCAGCCCATATCCACTTGCATAGGTGGTATACGCTCTGTCCTTTATATCTCTCTCCTTCTTGGGCATTATCTATTCCAGATATTGCCTTTCTTGTTTCGTCATTACCGCCACCGATTCTGTTACTTGGTGATTTTAATGCCCACCATTTCCTCTGGGGGGGTCTCACTGTGATTCCCGTGGCATTCAGTTAGAGGCTTTTCTTGCCACCCACCCCCTCCATGTTTTAAATACAGGTACTCGCACCCATTTTGATCCTCGGACTCTCACTCTCTCTTGCATCGATCTCTCAGTCTGCTCTTCCTTCGCTGCATTAGACTTCACTTGGTCTGTTCTCCCGGACTTGCATGACAGCGATCATTTCCCAATCATTCTTACTTCCCCTTCATATTCACCACCTCTTTGCATCCCACGCTGGCAATTTGATCAGGCAAATTGGAACCTTTACTCACACCTAACTGTTTTTAGAGAGGTTCCTTCTTCGTCCTCCATCGATGAGCTTTTACACCTCTTCTCATCCTCCGTTTTAACCACAGCTTCTCATTCTATACCCCAAACTTCGGGCAGGCATTCTCAGAAATGCGTGCCTTGGTGGTCTCCTGCTTGTGCTCATGCAGTACGTTTGAAACGCGCTGCATGGGGCAGGTACTGGTACAATAGAACCACAGAGAGACTTCTTGATTTTAAGCAGAAGTGTGTGATCGCTCGCCGTGTCATCCGTGACGCTAAACGCACTTGCTGGCGAGATTGTCTCCACCATCACCTCTGCTTCCTCTGAGTGCAGTCTGGAAAAAAGTACGAAAACTAAGTGGTAAATATTCTCATGACCCGGCTCCTGTTCTGCGGGTTGCCGGTGTTGATATAGCAAACCCACTAGATGTTGCCAATGAAATTGGCAATCATCTGGTCCATATTTCTCAGGGACTCCATCTATGCCCCTCATTTCTTTCCTCAAAGTCTGCCAGAGAGTTAGCACCCTTGGACTTTTCTTCTCTCAGAGAAGAACAGTATAATGTGCCTTTTACACTTCAAGAACTGGAGGCAACACACTCAGCTTGCCGATCATCGGCAGCTGGGCCCGACGACATTCATATTCGTATGCTATAACATTTACATCAGTCAGCCCTTGCAGTCCTATTACACCTTTACAATCTTATTTGGTCAAGAGTTCTTCCACAGCTGTGGAAATCCGCCATTGTTCTCCCTTTCCGCAAACCAGGCACTACGGGACATGAAACCTCCCACTATCGTCCCATTGCTCTTACCAGTGCAGTTTGCAAAGTGATGGAACGCCTAGTAAATAGACGTTTAGTGTGGTATTTAGAGACGTGCAACAGTCTCTCCACTCGTCAATATGGCTTTTGTAAGGGACGTTCTACCATAGACCCCTTACTACGCTTGGATACGTATGTTCGTAATGCCTTTGCGAATAACCACTCAGTTATTGCCATATTTTTTGACCTTGAGAAGGCATATGACACAACTTGGAGGTATAATATTTTAGCCCAAGCCCACCCCTTAGGCCTTCGAGGCAATCTACCATCCTTCCTTAAGAACTTTTTAACTGACAGGCATTTCCGTGTTTGGGTTAATAATGTGCTCTCCCCGGACTTTATCCAAGCTGAAGGTGTCCCCCAGGGATGTGTTCTGAGCACAACACTTTTTCTCCTTGCTATTAATGATTTGGCCTCTAGTCTTCCATCAAATATTTGGTCATCACTCTGTTGATGACTTCGCTATTGCCTGTGCAGGCGCTGACTGTCGCCTCATTACAGTTTCTCTCCAGCATGCAGTCGACCGTGTTTCCAATTGGGCCACCACACATGGGTTTAAATTTTCCAGC